CAGAACTTTAATTATGTTAACAAATTAAAAATATGATTATATACTTATGATATTATAAATTGAACAAGTCATCTTTGTTCCATTTAAATGACTGTTGTTTTATATAATCGTACTACTATATTTACATAGAGGCCAAGTGGCGTGGCAAACTCAAATATTATCAGAGACAAGTAAATTTTTCAATACACACCCACGAGCCATCCATTAACAACTATTCCTGAACGACCTGAACACTGGGTTTTTATCTCTCTTAGAAGTTTCCCGATAGAAACCATTTATAATGGGCAGGGAGTGATTGCCTCTCGCAGACAATTTTAAAACCATACTGATAATTAAAATAATATGAAATGAGACAATATTATTTAAAATATAACTTTTTTTTTTTAAATTTGCCTTTTAAAAATATAACTTTGCTTTATGTATTTTAATATGGTTAAGCTGTAGGTAAAACATTCTTATGAAACTTATTTATTACCCATCCATCAATCCTTAAAAATATTGAGAGATAGCCGCCTCTCAATTACCCCCACTGCCACACCACTAACTAGAACAACCATTGAGTACATAACAATGAAATTTTGTTGGTAAACGAATGTTATGGATAAAATCAGACTTAACAATTTACTTACATTTACCTTAACTAATAAAATGCTTGGAGCCTATATATGTGAGTCTTTAATGTTACTGATCATAATTTAAGTGTTATTATAAATTTTACTCATCAATGAAATATTAAACCTATACATACAATAAAAATGTATTTGACTAATTATTAATGAGTAACATACAAAAGTATATTAAAGATAACCAAGTCTACTAATAGTATTTTTACAGTAAGTACAAATTGGTGTAATATGTGTAAACTCTTTCATACCTAACTATTAATATTTATAAAATTCTGAATAAACCTAATCAGAAACTGCTATTTGATTAATAACTATGAAATATGAATTAATAATTTTATAAATGAAACAATAATAATTAATTAATAAATTGAAAAACTCACTTCTTGATTTCCCAGCAATTTAAAATCTCGTGGTAACAACTTTTGATTAATATTGAATTCATGGTAAGGCTACGATTAAAAAATATATATAATTTATAATAATAAAAACATTAAAGTCTACTTATTTATTAATTAGTAAAAGGTATATGTTATGAAGGAAGTGATATTATAATAATTAATAACTAAAAATAAATTTATTATAAATAAAGATGTGTATAAATAATACAAAAAAAATGTATAAATAAAGGGAAATATAAAATTAAATAAATAATAAAATAAACAATTATTATATTATGTTATTGTAACTGTGAAAAACATAAAACGAGTAAAATGAAAACAAAATAAAAGAATACTCAAGATTGTTTTGATAAATAATTTTGTAATTAAATCATATTAAAGTATCYCTAATTTCAATGATTATAAAAAAAATAGCCAAAAATCTCCAGTTTTCACCTATAGAGTAAATGTTCATTACAAAAGTCATCCGATGTGTTTAATTAGGTACACAAATCAGTTTTTATTAATAACTAAAATTAAACTTATTTTATTGGCTGAAGTTAATCCTACAGAACAATAAAAACATTACATAAAAAATAAATTATTTTTACTTACTTTTGCAAATAGATTTCCCATGAATAATTATTATGAATTAATAGTTAAAAGTAATTTGTTATTAGATAGGTAACTAAWGAAATGTAGACAAAAATTAAGGCATTGAGTGTTTATATTTAATTCTGAACTGAGACCAAATAATTAGTGGAAGCRATAAAAACCTAATGTAAAATTATATTGTGGATCCTAAAAGGAATCGTAGACCTTTTCTAACAAAAGATCAACGATGAAAACATAAAAATCTAAGCTTTTAAACTAACAACTATTAACATTTGGTCGAAGGATTGGAGATAGGTCAAAAAGCAGGTCAGTGATAAGCGACGAACGGCTAAACACCACCGACCGACTAACTGATAGTATAGTTTTATTGATAACGATCCCCGCGGGCTGTGATACTGAATAGTGATGGGCGATAGCAGATAAATTTTCCTTTTTTAGTAGGCTACCTACTGATGTTGTTATTGTTACCATCTACGGATTACTATTACTTGATTGTTGTTTTTTTTATTCCCCTTTGAAAACGGACGGCACGACGAGTCAGTCTAACAATAATTTTTTTTCCAAATCTTAAAATATTATCAACAGCCGTGTACTCGTTTCGTTTTGATTTATTAAGTCGTAAACACCATTTTGTTGCACGGACAATTAAAAACTAACGTTGGGCGGTGGCCACTATAATATTATTATAATATATTATCTTRAATGCTCACTCGTACAATCGCATACCTACATGGCTACATCGTAACTATATATAAAATAAAATTGGCTGTTAAGCTTAACAGTTCGTCTCAAGGACGTAACTATATTAGTATATGACATACTTTCAAACTTATTTTACCGAGTAATCCGTTTATCGTCGTTCGTTCGTTAATCTTTTATGTGTGGGTCAACTACCTACCTAGTTTTAATTTATTATGTCCACAAAATATCACAATGCCAAATAATAATCATAATATGCTAAACTTTTTAACAGTTTTATAACCACTATTTTCATACCAACTGTATTTAGTATTATGGTAAAATAATAATATTATGTTTCTTAGTATCTACCCACTTACCTACTTTAATAAGGATTATACTTATTAAACATTTTAATAGATTCATTGACTTTTGACTCTGATGGATATGGAAGTCTAGATAAATACCTACCTCCAAAAAAATATCGAAATTATGCCTGATAGGTACCTATTTCATATATTTATATTTAAATTTGAAAAAAAAAATACCTGTCTCCGAATAGTTAAAAGTTAAAACTATGAATAATTAAAATTTAAAATTACCTCAAAACTATCCGAAATAATAAACCGTTGGTTTGTAATAATTTCAATAYATCTATAATTAATCTTACCTATAACGGTCGGTAATCTATATCTTATATTTAAAAGATATATATTTATAAATAGGTAAATTAAAAATAGTTTAGAAAGTATAAATTCTTCATGAATTATACCAATTATTGAGTACCTATTAAAATATATTATTTTCATATTTCATTACTCATTACTCACTAGGTACTATTTTTATATAAATCATATTATATCAATATATTATCATGCATACAATTATWTTTTTTAGTACTTTAGTACTCATTTAAAAAGTGTAATACATACAATTTGATATTTTAATCATTAGCTTTATCCAGTGGTGTCAAACACGTATTTTTATGGGGCGGATCGCTCTAGTATTTAATTAGGGTGACTATATGATAGCTGAATTTACAATATAATTTTATGTGGGTGRTGCAGTGACGTATTTAAGGGGGGCTAGAGGGGGCSATCGCCCCGGRCGGCGTTTTTATAGGGGCGGCATTAGATTTTTACATAACCCATCTTCTGATAATGAAAATGAAAATGAAAAATATGTGAATTTTAAATATTTATTATTTTGTAATTATAGTTGATATTTGATAATAACTAAACCTATTTTATATTAAATATTTAAATGTGATTAATTTATAAAGATAATATAATGTTTAAAGTTT